GTCCTCCGTCCGTCGGGGGTGAGTGTGCCCTTGGCACGGACGTCCTTGAGGACAGGCAGGAGGAGTTCCAGTGTTTGGCTGCTGCTTCACCTCATCTCGTGTCCGTACTGCTTACCCCTGAGGGAGACCCGGATGCACTTGACATCCCGACTCCGCGCTCTTACGCGGAGGCGATAGAGGGTCCCTACTCCTCTCAGTGGCAGGCAGCTATGGACACAGAGATGGCTTCCTGGAAGTCCACAGGCACCTACGTTGACGAGGTTCCCCCGCCTGGGGCGAACATCGTCAGTGGCATGTGGATTTTCAGGGTGAAGCGACCGCCGGGTTCTCCACCTGTCTTCAAGGCACGTTACGTGGCTCGTGGCTTCAGTCAGCGGCAGGGAGTTGACTACTTTCAGACCTTCTCTCCCACCCCGAAGATGACCACTCTTCGGGTACTGCTGCACATAGCTGCTCACCGCGACTACGAGCTGCACTCTCTTGACTTCAGCACTGCTTTCTTGCAGGGCAGCCTGCACGAGGAGATCTGGCTGCGTCGCCCACCTGGCTTCACTGGGTCTTTTCCTCCTGGCACCCAGTGGAGCCTCCGGCGGCCAGTCTACGGTCTCCGCCAGGCACCACGTGAGTGGCACGACACACTGAGGACTACACTTGCGGCTCTTGGGTTTGCTCCCTCTACTGCCGACCCGTCGCTGTTTCTGCGCACCGACACTTCTTTGCCGCCGTTCTACATCCTCGTGTACGTCGACGACTTGGTCTTTGCCACAGCTGACACTGCTGGACTCGCCCACGTGAAGTCCGAGCTGCAGAAGAGACACACGTGCACAGACCTGGGTGAACTGCGCAGCTACCTTGGCTTGCAGATCACCCGGGACAGAGCACGCCGCACCATTACCCTGACTCAGTCACACATGGTGCAGCAGGTCCTTCAGCGCTTCGGCTTCACGTACTCCTCGCCTCAGGCCACTGCTCTGCCTACTCGCCACTCGCTCTCAGCTCTGCCTTCGGATGAGTCCGTAGAGTCGAGTGGCCCGTACCCAGAGCTTGTTGGCTGCCTCATGTACCTGATGACCTGCACACGACCTGACCTCGCATACCCTCTTAGCATTCTCGCACGCTATGTTGCTCCTGCGAGACACAGACCGGAGCACATGGCTGCAGCGAAGAGGGTGTTGCGTTACTTGTGCAGTACGTCGGGCATGGGGCTTGTGCTTGGAGGGCAGAGCCCAGTGGTCCTCACTGGGCACGCAGACGCTTCTTGGGCTGACGACCAGGCTACGCAGCGGTCGTCACAGGGTTACACCTTCAGCCTTGGTTCCGGCTCTGTTTCGTGGCGGGCTACCCGCTCGTCTTCTGTTCTCGGCTCCAGTTGTGAGGCTGAGATCTACGCCGGGGCCATGGCTGCACAGGAGCTTCGCTGGCTCACCTACCTGCTGACTGACCTCTGAGAGCCGCCTCGTTCTCCTCCAGTGCTGTACGTAGACAACAAGGCCATGCTGGCCTTGTGTCGAGAGCAGAGACTGGAGCACAGAACGAAGCACATTGCTCTCCGCTACTTCCTTGCTCGTGAGCTACAGCAGCGTGGTCAGCTGCGGCTTGCGTACGTGGCCTCTCAGGCCAACACTGCTGATATCTTCACCAAGGCACTTGCGCCTTGTGATCATCAGCGCTTCTGTACTCAGCTGGGTCTTGTGCCTACCTTGCCTCACTTGCTCACCCCTTGACCTTGTTTGTACTGTTGCATATATATATACACCTGCTCTTGCTTGTCTAGCCTTATATATATATGTAATCCTGCATGTGAACTGGCCTTGTGGCCTTGAACTTGTGCTCGGAATGTGTGGTGACTTTGTGATCCACCCTGAGCTTGCTTTGCTTTGCTTGACTGGTCTTGTGACCCCTTGTTCTCCCCCACTTTGCCTATGGGGGTGTGTCAGATTTATATGACATAGCTACTGTAGGCTATAGTGGGGTAGCACATATGGGGTACAGTTTTCTAGGGTTTACATTTTGTACCCAACTTTCCCTTAGTCATTCTCATTCCTCGTTTCTTCTCACTGACCACGGCTTACACCCCACAGTCTAACGGTGTAGCAGAACGGGCGAACCGGACAATTCTGGAGACAGCTAGGGCGCTGCTCATAGAATCTGGGCTGGGCAACTTGATGTGGCCCCATGCTGTTCGGCACGCTACCGTCGCTAGAAACAGGGTACTCACAAAGGTTGGGGATGACTCGTGGGTGCCGTTGGAGAGGTGGCTTGGGAGGAAGCCGCCGGTGGACATGCTGAGGGTGTTTGGTTGCATGGCAGTCGCCCACGTCCCCAAGAAGTATCGAAGTAAGTTGGGGGCGAGTGCAATCTGGTGTGTGCATTTGGGGCTTGCTGTGCAGGAGCTTGCGAGGTGCTTGCAATGGAGGGAGGTGACACGGTGGTTGTTGCAGCAGGAGATGTCGAGGGTGCCGAGGACTGCTGCCAGAAGAGTTGTTGCGTCTCTCGTCGGCAGCCTTTCGTTTGTAGCACCGATCGATTGTGTGGCCAGGTTTCTTGCAAAACTTACAAAATGTCCCTTTCTTTCCATGCTGCTCCCCTTCAGCTGCTCCAGCGTAGAAGACTAACTTCTCCCGCTTGTTGTTTTTCTTATTGTACAGATTGATCTCCTTCTGCTTGGAGAGAAGCGTGGCGCATAGGGCCGACTCGGAAATGGTTGCTCGAGCGCGACGCAACGAGTGGCATTGGCGCCAGTCGGGTCCGAGGCCGGAGAGAACCATCGAGACGAACATGTCGTCAGGGACGGTTCCGCCGCACTTCTTGATGTGGTCGCGTAGGTTGCGGCAACGGTTGATATAGGGTCCCGCTTTCTCCCCTTGTTGCATTTTAACTGAGGTCAGCTGGCTGAGCAGGCGACTCATTGTTACTAGATATGTTGCCATGTATGAGTTGCGCAGGTGCTCCCAGGATGCGTGCGCAGGAGCCCACTCCGACTTGTAGGAGCGAATTTCAAGCTGCTCGGAGGGGGAGAGGTTTCGTAAAAGAGTGGTGTACGCAAGTAGAGATTCGTGGTAGTACTGATGCTTCTCCTGGATGGTCCCTTCCGATGGGAAAGGTAAGCTTCCGTCGTAGTACATCCAGATCTGAGCGGTTGTTGCGAGGAGTCGAATTCGAAGCTCCACGTGTAGAAATCTTTGCCGTCGAAGGGAACTGAAGTCTTCAGCTTTGAAGTCAATACGAATTTTGTTTGCATGGTAGCAATTGTTTCTGAATGCGCACGTTGTGGACTGTCTTGTGCAGGAGCTGAAGCTTTACAGTTGTCAAATGTGAAAGACCTCTCGGAGTTGACACGACGGTCTTCTCTAGGGAGAGGGAGTCCAGCAACTCCTCTTGCGTAGCTTGAGCCATCGATGCTCATAGCTTGATGGCTCTCAAGAGCGTTGATGCGGGCGACTAGCTGCTCGACGACAGCGGCGCTGACGGAGGTCACCGCTGATGGCGCATTAGTCGTTGCTGGTGGTGGGCACGGAGAGTCTGCAGTACCTTTTCCTTTAGGAGCCATGGTGATGCAGACTCGTAAAGTATCTGAATAATTTAATAAAGAGTTTGTTCTGAGAAGAACAGAGACTTTACTTGACATGTCACTGTAGCTCACATACCATGCTGATATAACCAAAGGATCGAAGTGGATAGGATAAGTCTGCAAGTCTAGGAGAAGACAATGAAGTCTTGGTAGTGACCTTGTTAATATAAGTCGAAAGAGAACAAGGTGATTATAAGATAGAAATACAATGATATAAATAGCAAACTAGCTAGCCATGTACTCTGAGGGGTACATTCCCTTATTAACTGTATTGCATTGCTACAGTAACTACGACTATTGCTCTTCTCGACAGTTACCATGTTGCAGCGCGTAACTACCGTGCAGTTACTGGATGGTCAAGAGTCACGTCCGTTGACTGTCTTCGAATGTTGACCTTCGGGTGACTCTCTATCTTCCGCGTGCTCTATATGAGCTATTGCGGTACTGGTGCAGCGTGTTGTTCCGTTATGGAGTGACGCGTTGATGGAGAACCTTCGGGAATGTTATAAAGACCTTTCGGTTATTCCAACACAGGGAACATTATCGGGTACATGAAAGCTCTGAAGGACCGGAATCCATGGAAGTCAAGCTATAGAAGATGGGTGTGAGGAGAGAAATCCATGTGACGTTTTTATATGCTGTAAAATAAGTTCACTAAATGCAAACAAGCTCCTGCAGTCCCGAAAGCGTACGAATTCAGTCGACAGCAACGGTAAATGTTTGGGGAGTAAAAATTCATCCGTGAATCGTCGATGCTCTGCTTTCAGCTGAATTTGTATGCTTGCACAGCCACATGCGTCCTGTCGTGTTCGAGTGCGCCTAGGCTCGTCCCAGTCGCCATGCTACCATCCGAGCCCTTGGTGACATCGCATTCCTGCCTTACCTCAGTTTTTCCCCTCGCTCATGCTGCCTCTTCATCCACCCATACGGTCACTCTGCGCGCGCGCATCGCCCGCTCGCACGATTCCGCTTGGCGGAAATGTTCCGCCGCTTCCCATGGCCTCCTTCCGCCCTCCGCGCTGCACCACCGCGCACGGAATAGCCCTGGAAAAGGCGGAGGTAGATGAGTGAACGCACGGAAGTGGGATCCATGCTGGGCTGCGCGCGATGCGAAGCGAGGGCCGTGCGAGTAGAAGCACTGAGCGTACGCGCGGCGAGGGGATGTGAAAGCGGGGTTAATAATCGAATAAACAGTTTGGCGTGAGTGCGGCGGCGAGAGTTGAAGCAGCGGCGCTAGTCGCTTAGCCGCTTCGGTGACCGCAGTGGTTGTTAGGAGGGCAGCGGCGTGGGAGTGGCAGAACCTTTTTAAGATTGCGGACGGCGCGGGGAAGCAAAGCGCGCGAGCATGGACGGCACGGGGAATGCGGACTCCTTTCTCGCCCTCCTCGCGGAGGTGCTCTCCGCACCAAACGGATAGGGCGCGCGCAACATGTTCACGCGCCGCCTGGGCAGAGGCGGCGGCGCCGGTGGGCGCGGCGGCAGAGGACGGGGCGGCAGGGTCAGGCGGAGCGCGCGGGTGTGCGTGGAGGGCGTCCCCGCGGAGGCCTCTGCGGAGGTCCTGGCGGGCGTGCTGCGTCGCGCAGTGGGGGACGCGGTGGGGCGCGTGACGATCAAGGGGTGCACGCGCGTGGGGGACGTGGTGGGTGGCGCGCGGCAGCAGTGGGCGTCGCTGGGCGTGGCGTACGCGGACCTGCTCTCCCCAGAGGCCGCCGACTCGCTGCTGCGCTGTGAACGCGCCGGTGCCCCGCTGCATGTGGGCGGGCGCATGCTGGGTGTGCAGCGCGTGGCGGAGCACAGGCGCGCGCCCGAGGGGCTGCTGCACCGCGCCACTGTCCACGTGGGGTTCATCCAACGGCCCGGCCAGCTGGCGGTGACGTGGCAGTCCGAGGTGGCGGAGTGTCGGGTGGAGTTTGACTTTCTGGAGAGGCGCGTGCGCGTGCTGGTGGGGGAAGGGCGCACGGGGAGAGGGCGGGGTGGGGAGGGAGAGCGGGAGATGCAGCAGCAGCAGCGGGGGTGGGTGATGCATGGGGGGATTCAGACTCAGACGATGGGGGTGAAGCGTGGCAGCACAGTGCGGGTGGGCGTGGCGCTGCTGCTGCTTCCTCTCCGGAGGGCATGGCAGGTTCCTGCCAGCGACTGCAGCACCGCCTGGACTGGCGCATGAGGGACGTGCGCCTGTGGGGCGCCCCCCACCGCCGCAGAGACAGAGCCACGCCCTCTGAGCGCCGCCCGCCGCTGCTGCTGCTGCCCGCCGTGCCGCCTGCTGTGTTCACGCGGGCGTGCGACGACGATGTGTGGCAGCGCGACCCGTGTGCGTGGCTCCCCGACGACAGCGACCCCTGGACCCGCTCCACCGACCTCCGCCTCGCACCCGCCGCACCGCGCACTGGCGCAGTGGGCACAGTGGGGGGCGAAGGATGGGGAGGAGGGGTGCTAGGGGTGGGTTCATTGGTAGTGCAGGTATCTATGGGGAGGGAGAGTAGCGGGAAGGTGAAGGAGATAGCAGGGCGCATGCGCACAGTGGGGCTGTGGTGCAGGTCGAGGTACCTGGGCCCGCCTCACCACAGCATCACCACGTCCTTCTTCCGCCCCCACCCGCCCATCACCATCGCCCCCTTCGTCTGCCTGCCGCCCCGCTGGCCCTCCACTGGCCGCGCCACCACCACCACCGTCACCGGCAGCAGCGGGGGCAGAGGGGGTGCGCAGGCAACAGAGCTGGCGTTTCCAGTGCTGTACGTGCTGACGCTGCTGGTGCAGCGCGGCACCATCCCCCTCACTGCCGTGACCGCCCCCCTGTACCGCACGCTGGCACGCGAGGCACCACGAGCAGCGGTGGCGGTGCTGCTGGAGTTCATGTGCTACGCCCGCCCCGAGTTCGACCCCTCCGGCCAGTTCACCCGCATCGCACGCGCCATGCGCCACCAAGGCAAGCTGCCGTGGCGACGCGAGCGGTTGGAGGGAGGCGGCGGGCAGGCGGGGGGAGGGGCGGCAGAGGGGACACGGTCACGGCGCCGGGGAGAGGTGGTGCAGCAGCAGGGCACTGCGGAGGAGCATGAGGAGCGGCGTGGGGGAGAGGAGGAGGAGACGGGGCAGGAGAAGAAGGCGGGGCGGGAGGCAGAGGGGGCGGTGGAGCAGAGTGAGGGTTCGGCGTGGCCGTGGGTGCTACCCGAGAACCACGTGTTGGTGTTCCACCTCCTCGTCACTCCCCTGGCCGCGCAGTGCTGCCTGCCCAGTGTGGAGCTGGCGAACCGAGTCATCGCGCACTACCGCCCCCACGCACACCGCTTCCTGCGCGTGACCTTCACGGAGGAGGGCGAGCGGCAGCTGGCGTCGTTCGCCCTGGTGGGCGGCGCTTACCGTGCGGAGGAGGCGCATCACAGCGCGCGCACCGACGTGTACCACCACATTCTGAAGCTCGTCAACCAGGTGGGGGGGGAGTGGGGGATGGAGCAGGGTGAAGGGGTTAGCACGTGTGGGGGTTGCAGGTGTGGTGTAGCAGGTGAGGGATGCATTCTTTGTGAACTTTGTTGGCTCAGCTCGCCGTTTACAAGCTCTCCAGATTTTTAGTGTCTCAACTGCCGCCACGGCCTTGCGTCCATGCACCCCTTTCGCCCCCTGCACCCGTGTGTGGCGTGGCAGGGCTTTGAGCTGTGTGGTCGGCGCTACCGCTTCCTGGCGTAGTCAGCGTCGCAGCTGAGGGAGAAGTCGGCGTGGTTCCTGGCGGAGGACGCCACCCACGGCCTCACCGTCGCCGCCGTGCAGGTGCGCTCATGCTTCGCCGCTCACTCACCAGTCCATGGGTCACCCAGTCAGACGGCCCATGAGTCAGTCAGAGGCAGTCAGTCGCCCATGTAGTCGGCCTGTCTAGTACTCAGCTCAGCAGGCTATCCATTGGTTAGTCACGCATTCTTTAAGCTTGTCAGTCAGCACAAACGTTGATAAGTCAGTCGGTCTGTCAGTTAGTGGCATAGGTGATTAGTCACTCACTTTGTCAACCGGCCAGCTTAATTGTCATTCACCCACTGCCGTGTGAGTCGGTCTATGTGTGTGCCTGTGTGTGTGCTTCTGTGGTACATAATTGGGAGTGAGCCATGGGGGTGTGCGGTGTTGTTGCCGATGCTGTGCTGGGGACACGGCTTGGACTGGGCCCATGACGCCAGGCGTGGATGGGCACCTTCACCGCCATCCGCAACGTCGCCAAGTGCGCTGCGCGCATGGGCCAGTGCTTCTCCTCGCGCTTCACCTTGCTGCCCCTGCCCCGCGTCCAAGTGCGCAATCCCGGACGTCACACGCCACGGCTACTGCTTCACGGACGGCATTGGTGCCGTGACCCCTGAGGCCGCCAGGGCGCTTGCGGATGCCATTGCGCCCTACCTCGACAGGCCGCTCTCTGCTGCCCCTCACCGTACTCACTTGCCTGTGGGGGGGGGCGCGGGGGGGTGGCTGCGTGCGCCGTCGGCGTTTCAGATCTGGTACGCAGGGGGTGAAGGGCATGGTGGCCGTGTGGCCGCGCGGGGTCATGCAGCGCGTGGAGGCGCAGGGGGCTGCTGGTCCTGCCGAGCACGCCACGGGTGCCTGGCAGCAGCAGCAGAAGCAGGAGGAGGCAGTGGATCTGTGGTTCCAAGAGGGGCAGTGTGCGGGCGCATGGTGGGCGCAGGCACGGCAGGCAGGCGGCGAGGCAGGGCGTGCAGCAGCCGGCGGGGTGCACGTGTGGGTGCGGGACAGCATGGACAAGTTTGAGTCACAGCATGCTGACGTGGAGTTGGTGAACTGGACGCGCCCCCAGCCGTGCTACCTGAACCGGCAGATCGTGACCCTGCTGTCCACGCTGGGCGTGCCCGACCGGGTCTTCCTGGACATGCAGGTGCGCTGTGCCTCCACTGCTCCTCTGCTCTCTCTTGCTCTTCGCCTCGCCTCGTGTGTACACCATCCGCCCATCCCTGCGCCATGCTCCAATCGAAAGCGAGCAGTCTTCCCACTGTTCCCCGCACCACCTCCCCCAGCCCCCCACCCCCTCGCACTGGTGCGTGCGCCTCCCGTGGCATGTATCACCCCCCTCGCTGTGTGCAGGACGCATTGGTGGAGCGCCTGGAGGCGGCGGTGGGCAGTGGGGCGGCGGCACTGCAGCTGCTGGAGGAGAGCGGCGCGGACCACCTGCACGGCACCGCCATCACCATGCTGCGCGTGGGCTTCCACCCCGCGCATGAGCCGCACCTCAAACGCATCATCCAAGCCGTGCGGTACGCGTGGGTGCCGTGTTCATGCGCGTCACATCACACTGCTAACCCTCCTGTCTCTTCCCTCTCCTCCTCCCCTCGCCCTGCCGTGTTGACACTTCAAACTTGCACCTCTTCGTGTGCACATCGTCCAACTTGGCAGTGCTCACTCATTGCATCACCCCCTTTCCGCCACGCACTGCCCGGCGTGCGTGCAGGGCGGTGCAGCTGCAGGGGCTCATCTCCCGTGCGCGCATCTTCGTGAAGGACGGCCGCTGGCTCATGGGCGTTGTGGATGAGACCGGGCTGCTGCAGGTGAGAGAAAGGGGCGTTACATCTCTGCAGGTGAGAGAAAGGGGCGTTACATCTCTGCAGGTGAGAGAAAGGGGCATTACATCTCTGCAGGTGAGAGAAAGGGGCGTTACATCTCTGCAGGTGAGAGAAAGGGGCGTTACATCTCTGCAGGTGAGAGAAAGGGGCGTTACATCTCTGCAGGTGAGAGAAAGGGGCATTACAACTCTTCAGGTGAGTAGAGGGCTGCTGTAGTATGCCATCAAGCCACCTTATTCTGTCTATATACCTTCTCTGTCTGTATTTCCATTCCCGGTCCTCCCCATGCCCCATGGCAGTACGGGCAGTGCTTCATCCAGGTGTGCGACGCCACGGCACCTGCACCCAGCGCCACCGCCACCTTGAGGCTGCACAGCACAGGACGGGGCATGGGGGCCCCGCGCGTGGTGACGGGCCCCGTGATGTTTGGCAAGAACCCCTGCCTGCACCCGGGCGACCTGCGCGTGCTCACAGCCGTGGACGTGCCGTGCCTGCACCACCTCATTGACTGCCTCGTGCTGCCCAAGCATGGCCCGCGCCCGCACGCCAACGAGGCGTCGGGCAGTGACATGGACGGGGACGTGTACTTTGTCACGTGGGACAAGCGCCTGCTGCCACCGCGAGGGAGCAGTGAGCCCATGGACTACCAGCCCGCCAAGCAGGACAGCCATGCGCCCGTCACCATGCAGGTGCGTGGCGCCTGGGCTCCATGCCTTGGGTTCTCGTATGATCGCTGCTCGTGGGAGGTCGTGAGCCTCAAGTGATGAAGTACGTAGTGGAGCTGCCTGACGCACACACCATCGGTACACGTGTGGCATCAGCACCATCCATCATGCAAGCTTGCCGTGCAAGCACTTTGCATTCATCCAACAGATCGTTTTGAGGTCAAAAACTGCAACTTCTTTGTGACGGCCGTGCCTGCTGTGCTAAACCCACATGTCGTGTGAGGAGGTCCATGGGTTCCATGTCACCAACAGCCTCAACTCGATTACACGCCCTGCCGTTTGCCTTCATTGGATGCCCGTCCGTGCTGTGCACCACCCCCCACCAGGACGTGCACCGGTTCTTCGTGGACCACATGCTGAACGACAGCGTGGGTATCATCTGCAACGCACACGTCGTGCACGCCGACCAAAGCCCCGACGGCGCCTTCGACGATAACTGCCTCACTCTCGCCCGCCAGGCGGCACTGGCGTTTGACTTCCCCAAGACGGGCGTGCCGGGCGTGATGCCGCGCGTGATGCCGACTTCATGGAGAAGGACGAGCGGTAGGACACCTATGTGTCGGACAAGGCGCTGGGGCAGCTGTACCGACGCGTGCTGGGCCAGCAGCCGTGCGACCGTGCACGTGTTGTGCCGGGGGTGGAGGAGGACGAGGAGGAGGGGGGGCAGGGAGACGAGGGCAGTGACGAGGAGGGCGATGCAGAGGTGCAGCAAGGGGCGGGTGGGGAGAGTGGGGACCGCGGGTGGGGTGGCAGGGGGTGGGAGGGCGAGGCGGACGTGATGGCGGACCGGCGCACGTGGCTGCGGTACCCGGGGGCGGACGAGGTGGGGCAGGCGTACCGGGCAGACCTGAGGGCAGAGGGGTTTGAGCAGCACGTGGAGGAGGCGAGGTGGCTCAAGCAGGAGTACGACCGATCATCCTGCACCAGGTGCGCCCATGCACATCCTGCACCAGGTGCGCCCATGCACATCCTGCACCAGGTGCGCCCATGCACATCCTGCACCAGGTGCGCCCATGCACATCCTGCACCAGGTGCGCCCATGCGCATCCTGCACCAGGTGCGCCCATGCACATCCTGCACCAGGTGCGCCCATGCACATCCTGCACCAGGTGCGCCCATGCACATCCTGCACCAGGTGCGCCCATGCACATCCTGCACCAGGTGCGCCCATGCACATCCTGCACCAGGTGCGCCCATGCACATCCTGCACCAGGTGCGCCCATGCACATCCTGCACCAGGTGCGCCCATGCACATCCTGCACCAGGTGCGCCCATGCACATCCTGCACCAGGTGCGCCCATGCACATCCTGCACCAGGTGCGCCCATGCACATCCTGCACCAGGTGCGCCCATGCACATCCTGCACCAGGTGCGCCCATGCACATCCTGCACCAGGTGCGCCCATGCACATCCTGCACCAGGTGCGCCCATGCACATCCTGCACCAGGTGCGCCCATGCACATCCTGCACCAGGTGCGCCCATGCACATCCTGCACCAGGTGCGCCCATGCACATCCTGCACCAGGTGCGCCCATGCACATCCTGCACCAGGTGCGCCCATGCACATCCTGCACCAGGTGCGCCCATGCACATCCTGCACCAGGTGCGCCCATGCACATCCTGCACCAGGTGCGCCCATGCACATCCTGCACCAGGTGCGCCCATGCACATCCTGCACCAGGTGCGCCCATGCACATCCTGCACCAGGTGCGCCCATGCACATCCTGCACCAGGTGCGCCCATGCACATCCTGCACCAGGTGCGCCCATGCACATCCTGCACCAGGTGCGCCCATGCACATCCTGCACCAGGTGCGCCATTGCACATCCTGCACCAGGTGCGCCATTGCACATCCTGCACCAGGTGCGCCATTGCACATCCTGCACCAGGTGCGCCATTGCACATCCTGCACCAGGTGCGCCATTGCACATCCTGCACCAGGTGCGCCATTGCACATCCTGCACCAGGTGCGCCATTGCACATCCTGCACCAGGTGCGCCATTGCACATCCTGCACCAGGTGCGCCATTGCACATCCTGCACCAGGTGCGCCATTGCACATCCTGCACCAGGTGCGCCATTGCACATCCTGCACCAGGTGCGCCATTGCACATCCTGCACCAGGTGCGCCATTGCACATCCTGCACCAGGTGCGCCATTGCACATCCTGCACCAGGTGCGCCATTGCACATCCTGCACCAGGTGCGCCATTGCACATCCTGCACCAGGTGCGCCATTGCACATCCTGCACCAGGTGCGCCATTGCACATCCTGCACCAGGTGCGCCATTGCACATCCTGCACCAGGTGCGCCATTGCACATCCTGCACCAGGTGCGCCATTGCACATCCTGCACCAGGTGCGCCATTGCACATCCTGCACCAGGTGCGCCATTGCACATCCTGCACCAGGTGCGCCATTGCACATCCTGCACCAGGTGCGCTCATGCTGCACCTCTGTCTGTCATTATGCTCAATCACATGCTCTTGACCTGTTGCCCTTCACCTCTCCCTCCCTCCCTGTCCCTCGCTCACCCCCTGTCGCTTGTCCAACTCAAACAGTGGCAAAGTACCGCTGTCGTTGACCCTTCAAGTGTGTAGCACGTGAGTGTTCCTATGAGTGCCTACGTGTGTGCACCCATGCCCCCCCCGGCCAGTTTGGCATCATGTCGGAGGCAGAGGTGGTGTTGGGCAGCCTGCTGCACGCCGCACACCACCACGGGCGGCGGGAGGAGGCGGTGAGGGAGCACGTGCGCAACATGTTCCTGTCGCTGCGCCACCGCTACCACCGCCTGCTCGTATATGGCGTGGACGCTGAGGGGGAGGATGGGGAGGAGCGCGGGGAGAGGGACGGCGGGGAGCGTGGGGGGGGGGGGACGGGGAGGAGCGCGTTGATGATTCATTCAGGGATCCGCGCCTCCCTCGGCAGCACGGCAGGGGCCAGCAGCAGCCCCTGGCACCGCAGGTTGGTGGGGTTGTTGATGCGCATTGCACATGTGTTGTCCTCCATGTGTGCATGGGTCTCCATGCGTTGTACAGCTGCTCTCATCAGCCATGTCCGTTCTCGAGAAGTAGCTCAATAGGTGACCAACAAGTGCTGAGTTCATGCCACCTTACCGCATCAGCCAGTTGCAGGATACTCGCATGATCAGTCGCTGAATCTGCAAATGTCGCTTTTGACTTCCTTTGTGTTCACGTTTGCGTGCATGAACATGTGTGCATTGTGTTTTGCATGCGTGCGTGCGTGAGTGTGTGTGTGCATGTGTTTGTTTGTGGGTGTGTGTGTGTGTCTGCGCACATGCATCACCAGGTGATGGATGACTCGGCCAGCCTTGACATGGCAACCATTCGAGCGCGTGCCTTTGCATGGTACCATGTGTGCTACCATCCTACGGAAATTGAGCGTGACCAGCACGAGGCTTATAGCCGTGGCCTCCATGTGCCTCCAATATTTCTCAGCTTTGCTTGGATTGGCGTAGATGCCTTGTGCCAGCACTTGATTACACACTAATGCTCCTTTGTGGAATGTACGGTAACCCTGGTTTTAGTGATCCTAGCGCCACTAAATAAGGATTGGAATTTCAATGCATGCTGTGCTACCGTTATCAGAACCCTGGATTAGCAGCATTCAGAAATACGACCCAGGAGCTTTACCGAGCGGTTTGCTTTGTATGGGATGGTCCATACCACTGTTCTGTCAACCAGGAATGTGTGTGACAACAACCCTGAACAACTCGGAAATTCACAGCTGGAAGGTACCATATAAATACCTACGGTATACAATACACCGTATCCCGTAGACAAATGTGCTCGCTAGCCTGGCATTACTTTCCTGTGACTTTAAACGAAGAACCAGGGCAGGAGATTACGCGGGGAAAGGGACGAGGAGCAGAGAAGGCATTCGGCATGTCAACGTGGCTTGAAGGAGGCACTGAGAGATTGCCCCAGGATGAACCACGTGGTGGTGAGCAATGCTCCCACGCTTGTATGGATGAAGACTCTATCGAGTACAAACCCGTACACGGAGATTCCCACTGCTGAGCTGGACAGGAAGTTGACTGTTGGAAGCAGAGGGCGCGGGGAGGGACAGCACAAGGGGTCGATGCGGCCGTAAGGGAGCGAACATAGGGTCAGTGGCAGAGCATTCACAGCAGATGGGATGACAAATGCGATGCATGGGATGATGGCAGAGCATTGAGCAAGGAAGTGCAAGGGACTCCCACAGAACATGGTGCCAGCAGGGGTCGCACACAGGAGAGTGAGGAGAGACATACAAGGAGTGGAAGCATGTGAGCGTGGGGGGGTGGGGAGACATCGGAAGGAGGCAGTGGGGGTACCAAGAGCAGCGCGCTGTGCCCATGCCTCCTGTCTCTGCAGCAGCTCCAGTGTCAGCGCCATCTCTCCATCCCTACCTCCCCACCCCCCCCCCTCCATCCCATGCACATGCCCTTGTGCTGCGCCATGGCTTGCGAGCACTGCAGGCTCCTGGGCAGGCCATGGTGCTGCTTCTGCGTGCTGCCCACGTGGTGTGTGTAACAGGGGTTCAGTGAGCCCCCTGGATGGAGAACGATGGGGGCCATGTAGGGGAGTAGTGGAGGGGCATGAAGGCGTGGTGCTGCTGCAGCTGCCAGTTGTGAATCTGCGACCAGAGGTTGTGTCACTGTTGCTGTTGCTGCTGTTGCTGGTGGTGGTGGTGGTGGTGCTGTGGGCAAGTGAGGTGGTGTACGGGCGCAGCACGGGTGAGCCAGTGTATGCGCGGTCCACCAGGTCAGCACAAGGGGCAGTGGTGAGGTCAAACGAGGGGTGGGCGGCGGGCAGGGAAGGTTGGGGGCACAGCACGCTGGAGGGTGGAGAGCTGTGGCGAGGGGGGATTGATACGGGGGCGAAGGGCGAGAGAGCGGGGGCTGTAGGCTGCAGGAGAGCAGGAGGGGCAGTGTGAGCGAATGGCGGTGGAAATGCAGGGGGGAAGGAGAGGGAGGGAGTGGGGGGGAGGAGGGGCGCGGAGTCGAAGGTGTGCTGGGCGTGCATGGCGGCGGCGACTCGCACGATGCGGCGGTGCAGGTGGGCGAGCTTGGAGGCACAGCGCAGACACATGCCCGTGCCCACCAGCGCCACCACGTTCGCCACCTGCCACCGCAATGTCACAACAGACATGCGCGGGACGGCAGTGTGGGAACCAAAAGAAGCATTGAATGAGGGGGGCATGGCAAGTGGTGAGAATGACAAGGAGGCAGCGCGACTCACAATGAGGTGGCCGGAGTTGAGGAAGGAGAGGAGCGTGGGCCCATCGCGGTACTGCACCATGTGGAACATGGACGCCAGCGCACCCAGCAGCGTGATGGCGAACGCCAGCAGCAGGAAGAGGCGGAAGCGGCGGCTGATGCCTGCCAGCCCTGCAGAGATGCGCGTGTACTCGAAGAAGCAGAAGGCGGGGTCGCTGCACCGCTGCACCACGTCCCTGTACCCCTGCATCTTCAGCTCCTGGGGGGGGTGGGTGTCGGAAGGGGGGAAGGGGTTTGTGAGTAGAGTGCGGATGGACGGGTGCAGTTGGAGGTGTGGGTAGCAGGTGGTGGCAGAGCGAGCGTCCCCCATGGAGGAGGGCGCGCTGACATTACATGGAACAGCTTGGAGTCCCAGCACCCACCACGCACTGTGTCGCCGCACTCAAGGTTGCATGCGTCGGGGAGGGCGGTGACAATGTGAACACGGGTGAGGGGCGGCTTGTGTGGGGTTAGGGAGCATACCTGCAGGGAGCAGGCCTTGGAGAAGAGCACGCAGGTGAAGAGGAAGGTGGAGGCGGCGAAGAGCCAGGAGATGGAGCCCAGCAGGAACAGCAGCGCCAGCTGCACCACGTGGTAGCGGGGCGGCAGCAGGTGCGGCTCCGTGCGCAAGGGTATGCAGGCGAAGAGCAGCGCCTTGTGCAGCAGATGCAGCAGGAAGAGCGGCATCAGCAGCCATAGCAGCATTGCACGGTTTTGCTGCCGGCGCAGGTGGCGGAGAGAGGGGTGGGGCGAAGGAAATGGGGGAAACGGGGGGTTAGGGTAGAGAGAGATGATGGAACAGCGAGGAATGAAGCGGTAGTGGGACTAGGGAAGCGGCGACTGTAGTTGGGCTATGCTAGCAATAGTGCGCTGCTGTAGATCTGCCGTGTGTAGCTGTTGCCTTACCTTGTGTGTACCTTGGTGGTATTAATACAAGGGACCGTTCGAGAACGAGAAGGTTGAGGATGAAGAGAGCGCCCTCTGCCACCTCACTGCACTCGAAATGCCTTCAACGTTCCACCACCTCGCAACATCCCCCCAATCGCCCGCACTAACCCCCATCCCACCACCTTTCAAACCACCCTTCCCACCCAGAGTGCCCCATGCCCTCATGTGGTGTGGCGCTGTGCGCTGTGTGGCCCTCTGCCCACCTGCAGTGCGTGCAGGTACTGCGCCTGCAGCGCCTCGTCCTCCTGTGCCGCGGAGTCCAGGAAGAGCACCGCGTGCAGCCCGTGCGTGCGCAGCGCCGCCCGCAGGAACAGAAACGCCACCACGCCCAGCGAGTTGTGCAGCAGCAGCACGAGTAGCTGGAAGGGCAGCTGCAGCATGGGAAGAAAAAGGGGAGGAGTGGGTGGGAGGAGCAGGGGAGAGAGAGGATAGGAAGGAGATGAGGGGAAGAGAGAGAGTTGGGAAGGTGAAGAGACATGTGGTAAGTGAGGGGAGAATGGGGAACGGGTCTGGTGGGAGGTGACTAGGGGTTGTTGAGCAGGTCAGCTCAGGCTCGTTCGTCACTTGCTTGTCCTACTTAGCTCCATGGCAATTCTTCTCACCGCTTCATTGAGGAATGCTACTTGATATAGCGAGCAAGAGCAACAAAAACAGGGAGACCTGCTTCTCCTGCACGCAAGCAATTTAGTGGAGAGATGCCCTCGAATCTCACGGCATGCAGGTGCCGGGCAGCCCTCTGTTTGTGCACTGGCATGGCACGGCCCGTGAGCAGGAGCGCAAGGGGGTGATCTTTACAGTCGACTCAAGCGCGAGGCGCAGGGGCGGTGTGGCACGCACTTGGTGTTGGGGGAGGTCGTCGGCGGGCTGCACGTAGGCGTAGAGGCCGCACGGCACGACGAGCAGCAGCGCCACGCCAGTGCCCCACGTGAGCACGGCCCAGCGGCGCGACGAGGTGTCGAGGCCCAGGAAGCGCAGCGTGGAGCGGAAGCGACGCACCTGCGCCTCGTGCAGCCGTGATGACGCACTCGCCTGCACCTGCTGCGCCGACGACCTGGGGGGAAGAGGGTTGAGGGGGATGCTTTGGGGGGTGTTTTGGGGTTTCATTCATGCATAGTGAACGGGAGAATGAGAGAGAGGGATGTGTGGAGTGGTTGATGTTGGTATGGCGGGCAGCAGGCATATGGGAGGAGAAGTGGTGCCGTCCTTCCTGTGCGCGGTGCCCCTCCATGCCGCACCACGCCTCTCGCACACGGAATGCCTTGCCTCGCACTTCACCTAACTGCCTCTCTCGCACGTGTGTGTGCGCGCTCTACCTTCGGTCTCGATACGCGGCGTATCTGGGCGAGTGGCACAGCAGCGAGTACTCGCGCTCCTCCGCACTCGCATCTGCACGACCCCCCACATCCACCCACGCGCGCCTCTCCACCTCGCCGCCCCCCCCACCTCCTCCCGCCACTTCCTCTCCTCTGCACATCTCTTTTTCCACCCACCACACTCTCCCACTCGAATTCTCACTCACTCTCTCGCCCCATCTCTCCTCCGCACTCCCCCGCGCGCTCCCCCTGTGCGCGCACCCCCCTTGCGCTGCCCACAGTGCGTCCTGCTCCACGGGCCACACGCCGTCGCCTGTCATGCCCTCGTCAAACCGCCACGCGCCCCTGCCACCACCACCGCGCGCGCTGCTACCGACGTCCATCGTGCTGTCCGCGCAAGGCCCTGCGCCCATTCCGCCACGCCCTCGCGCGCCTGCATGCTCGCTCGCCTCTCCACGCCTGCCCTCCTCCCTCGTCCCGCCCGCAGCGTCACTCTCCGCCCCACCACCGCCCCTCGTCCCCCCGCCCTCATTGCCACGCGCCCCGCATGACTCGCCGCCTTCGCCCTCGCGCGTGCCGTGAGAGGCGTCGCCATGCGCCGTAGCAGTAGCGACGGTGGTGCGGGCGGGAGCAGCTGCAGCACGGGGAGCAGGAGCACTGGCGTCATCGTCACCTCGCCACTGGCCCGCGTCTACATCGCTGCTCTCTTTGCTGCTGCACCCGCTGCGCCTACTCCGTGCCTCCACTGCGTCCCCGGAGCACCATCGCCCAAAACTCAGATTCGCCGCGTCGCCTGCGCGGATATGCGAGCCGTCGTTTTGACCGTTGAGTTTGAGCCCACCGGAGCGGCGATCGAGATCAGCGCCTCCGCCGCTAGCGGCGATCTTTTCGGCGGATCCTCCTGCTGCCATCGCGGCGCGGGCCAGGGAGGACGGGGGAACCGGGGGAAGGGCGGCGGTTGAGGAGGATGGGACGCGGATAGGCCGCAGGGAGCGGGGAATGTCGGCTGTCGCAGCAGGCATGTTGGCGCCGCTTCTGGCTTCGCCAGCATAGCGCTTGTCGCTGCTGTTCGTGGCGTCACCGCTGCTGCTGTCGTTGCCGGCAGGCACGCACGCAGCAGAGCTGGGTGATGCACGCGCGCCGCCTACGGGCCGTGTAGGCGGCAGGTTGACGGCAGAGACCCGCGAATCCACCTCGCGCGACCCCATCGATGGTGCTTGGCTCTGGCGATTGAGGCGCAAGTGAAAGGTGCTCCGCTGAGCTGTAACGAGCCTACTTGCACGACAACTGAAATCAAACACTACGGGATGCCGGCCGATATCACCCTGCCAGCCATGGCATCAGATTGAAGTCATATCCGTCCCGAACCGGGCCGCCAGAACCGCTGCGAGATTTGTTCGCGGGACTGGTTGACAGGTAATTAGGCATGTAAATTATCATTCTTTCATTTTATAATCACGATGAAATCTAAATGTGGGCAGAAAGAGATGTACATACTACAAATCACTGGGACCTAAGATTCTCATGGCTTCTGGGCAACCTTTTCCAAACCCCGTAGGCAGCTACCGCATAGAGCGTCTCCCCAGTCTGCTGGCGGTTGTCTGTTAGGACAAAGGAATAACGTGTGTTCCACGTGCTCCTTATAGGATGCTGGCCATCTCGGCCATGTTTCTAGATTGCTCTATGGTACTATTCTTTGTACATACGATCAATATATAACCTTAACCTTAACAAATCTCTGGGACCAATTGTTTTGCCACTCAAACTGGTGAGAGCGACATGGGGTGCATGGGGGGGCGAAAATGTTCGTGCGCGGGGCATAGGGGGATAATGGGCATGGCATGGAGGGGAGGGGAGGAGAGATGGAAGGGAGGAGGGAGGAAGTGGTGGGATGGATGGGATGAGGGAGGCTTAGAAGAGAATGGTTAGTCCTAGGGGAGCGCCACGCAGATGGAGTAACGATAAATAGGAGACTCTATACAATGCAGAGGCAGGGTTTGCCAATAATGACAAAGTGGGGAGTGGGGACACAGTGGTGAAGCAAATCTCTCGTAGCTTACGAGCACAGCCACTCAACAGCTGCCCAACTGCCTGCAATTCAGTTATTTCTGACCCAGTAGCCCAACCCATGTAGGCCTGCAGCGATGTTTCACTCACGAGGCCACTGGAAACTGTCTAGTTTCGCCAATCCGCTTTTTCGTGGGGAGACTTAAGATCACACTGTACTTGGGTTCTGCCGCTCCCCTCTCTCTTTCCTCTTCCCCACTCTGCTCCTCCCCAACCACCCACGGATCTTTTAAGATGTCATCCACCGTTGGCCGTTTTGTCACGTCGTCGTCCATCAACCGTTGGATCAACTCCCTCGCCTGCTCTGACACCCCATCCAGCCCCAACCCGCTGCGCCTCAACTCCTGCTGCGGCCATCTGGACACGTGACCCGATAGCATGGCACGCAGGACCAGCCCCAGGCCCCAGATGTCATGATGCCGTGGCACGCCGTGGCCCAATAGTGCAGCAGCGACGGCGCGCACTGTTTCGTGCTGTGTGGCGGCGCCAAGGCCCGACAGCTTGGCGACAGGAGAGCTCCAGCACCTGCTGCTACTTCTTCCACCTTTGCAGCTGCTGCTCTCGCTCTCATCTCTGCCAGCCCTACACAAACCGCCGCTTGAGTTGCTCCGACTATCCCTGCTGAAATTCACGCTTCTCCGAGTGCAGCTGGCACCGCTGTCACTGGCGGAAGCGAGGCACGGCATCCCCGGGCTAGCCGGCGTCGACGCCTTCGCCAGGCGTCGGCTGAGCAGTGGCCCAATAGGCACACCTGGGGGAGCGATGAAGGGCGACGTGGGAGACGACGGCACGGAGCAGCTAGCGCGGTGAAGCATAGCGGAGGGGGATTGCCTGAGCAACACGTGGTCGGGGGCGACGCTGCCGTGAATCACGCCGTGTTCGTGGCACTGCTTCACGGCCAGGACGACGGAGAGGAACACCTCCCGTGCTGCGTCTTCCGACATTGGCCCCTTGCGCTTTATATGCGACGCGAGGTCGCCCGCGGCACAGAGCTCCATGACTATGAAGAGGGACTTCTTGTCGCCGTATGCTTCCTCAATCTGAACCACGTTGCTCGCCACGCCCCGGAGGGACAGCAGAACCTTTAGGTCATTAGTAGCCCGTTTCATGTGCTTGCCGTCGCCGTGCATAGACGAGAGGTCGTAATGCTTGCACGCGTACGTGCGCCGGGTAACTCGGTCGCGACATCGCCAAACCGTCGCTCGATGACCTTCGCAAAGAATCTTCTCAAGCTCGAAGTTCTCCCAAAAACATTCTAACGGCAGCACACGCCTGACATGCCCAAACGGCATCAGCGGTAGTGAGTGCAACGATGTTTGTGTAGTAAACGAAGCTTACGATGCAACTACAAAGGCAGTGGAGACTCCAACGCAGCGGCTAGCAAGCAACACTCACACGGAACTGCAGTCACTTGATTTCTCATCTTGGCACTGCTGTGGGTGTGGCTCTTGTGTGCGGATGCCATACCGGCAAAGGAGGGTTGTTGCTCTGGAAGGTAGCGTTCACAAAGCTCGATGACGTCGGAGTCAGCTTCCCCATCTCATCTCCTGCCCAAGCCGGTTCCCCAGTTGGTTCGTTTGTTTTTCGGACCGCGAATTGTTCGGGTCAGGGTTTCGAGACTCGACCCAACGTGTCAGCCTGTTTTGGGTTGTACAGCACTGTCCCCGGATTTGGCATGAAACCGAACGCTTCATGCGTTCTCGGAAAGGTCTTCCAGAAGTATGTATGTTGGTGAAGTGCACTGCCAAATCGTCTGCTGGATGGAAACGTGTTGCACACATATGGGAGCGATCGTATCGCCATGCTTTGGCCAACATTATTGGCAAAGTAGAGTCACGTCACAGATTCAACAAACCCAGAACGCATGAGAGCCATCCGATGTGATATCTAAACCGTGTCGCTTATACTCGCTTACACTATATACTCTGAAGTTTTGGGCAAAAGTAAACCATATACACATTGTAAGGAACATCCCTTTTCCTTATCAGTGTAAATCACCCTGATACCCTGATTATCAGGGTGGTTTTTTGTGGTCACACTTTTGCCGTAGGGTAATATTTTCAGGGGCTTAGATTTTCCTGATATGCCAGGGTTTACGTTTTACGCACAAATTGGCCTCAGTGTAACGGTTCTTCTTAGTGAGTTTTACCCTGAAGAGTGTACCACACCCCCCCCCCCCCCCCCCCCCCCCCTCTCCCCCTGCCCCCCTTTCCCGTACCCTGGATTCCCGTTGGCTTAAAGCTCCGGTATACATTTGAAAGGAGGTTCAAAATCCTTAGGAACTTGAAAAGCTGCCCCCAAACCGCGAGGCACACTATAAACCCCTAAACACCGCTGACAAACCGAAAATTTCGCCAAGACAGCACATGTGGTGGCACAAAGCTGACCACCATTGGTCATAATTGCTGTGATCAGAAACTATATCGTAACCAGGATCACATTGGGAAGGTTTGCACAATGTGTGTGTTACGATATGAAATTATATGAGAAGGCATTCATGTATGCTGCAGGAACCGACTCTATCGAGTACGAAGTCGAGGAGTCAGAAGAGTCGAAGCGACGCAACAACCGTCTGACCAAGACTGATGCAGGCAGAAACATTTGAAATGAAAAGAGCGGGAACATGTTCGAAACGGGTTCCCGCGCCGCACGGTTTGAATTCGCTGCAATATGGGAATGCACGGTTTGAGTACATGGCTAGCCTACGGTAGGTCTTTTCGTATTCCCTTGTATTCTTATATAAACCCGATGTATGCATGCCATTATCAACTCAGTCATTTACATTCACTCTGACTTGAGATTCTATCTTCCGCTGCAACATTACTCTGCGATCAACCCTGAGTGATCCTTCGCTAAGTCCCACTTGGGATTGTAACATGGTATGAGAGCTACTCGGGGATTCTTCGCAACTTCACTTCCGTGAAATTCGCCGAACCAAGATCTGGCGAGCGGCACACGCTCAAAGACCAAGATGGCCGGAGGATCCGGAGGCCAAGCAAATATGACGGCTGAAGGACAAACCAACCTGGCTGCGACAAATGAGGTGACAACCACGATCAGTACTGCCGCACTCGAGCAGTTATTTTCGCGACTAGCAACTATGGAGAAAGATCTCCAAGAACTGCGCAAAGGCGATGCGGGAACCTCTTCCCAACCAGTCCAACATGGAAAACCGGCCGCGAAAAGCCGTGATACCGCCGCGCACACCTTCTCCCTTGACACAGACAAATCAACAGCTACTGCCCTCCGTCCAAGTGATGAAGTCATTAACTCTGCGCAAGCACGCTTCCTCAGCGTTGCAAAAATCAAGACTACTTCCGCATTTGACGGCAAAGATTTCTACACTTGGAGCTTCGAGCTTGAGCTCCTCCTACAGACAGCGCAGATCTACCATTACTTCGACGGCTCCTACCCTAAACCGGTGGACGACACCGACGACGCCAGGGCTCAGTACTACAGCGAGTCCCTCATGGCGTACAGTGTGCTGTTACGCAACATGACGCCTGCAGAGCAACTAAGCATCCGCTCCTACAAAGAGAGCGCTGCTCCAGCCTTGGAAGCCTGGAAGCACCTCGTTGAGGTATATCAGACGAAGGATTCGGTCACTGCCAGCAGGCTCCTGTAGCAACTCATGGAGACAAAGATGGGGCATGGGGAGAAAGTGTGAAGATAAGCAGTAGAAGAAGGCGCCATAGCTAGGAAAGCCCTAGCTAGGCAAGAAACGGTTTAGGCAAAGAAGGAGGAGTTGCACTAGCAAGAATGAGGATACAAATAGCAAACCCTAGAAGGGTTGTACTCGCTATAGAACACCCCACTACAGGCTAGAGCATAATATTCTGACACACCCCCATAGCCAAAGTGGGGTGTAATCAGCAGAGCAAGCAAAGCAGAACAAGCTCAGGGTGGATCACAATGTCACCACACATTCTGAGCACAAGTTCAGGAAGCAATAGTTTAAAGTTCACAATTATGAGCAAAGCTAGTGGTAGTCACAACGGGCAAGTGAGGAGGAGGAGGGACAGTGAGAGGAGAGGAGATAAGAGGCGACGGCTGAAGCTGCAGACACACGGGCAACAGGAGGCACACTGGCACAGCGGCTACCGGAACAGCGCTCCGGACTACTGGAGTAACTGGCCCCGCGGCTAAAAGTAGCGGCAGACGAGCAACGGACCCACGGGCGACTGGCACAGGTGGCTACGACTGGGCTACCGGAGCAACTCCCCGGACTACAGGTGCTGCTGGCGACACGACGGCAACCTCCGTTCAACCTCCCCCAAACAGTACCACCCCCCCTGACACACACCCCCTGCTTCACCCCTAGCTCCACTCCCCCTTCACCCTCCCTTAGTACCACTCCGACGGCTCCAACAGGTCCACCCCCCCTCAGCGGCAGCTGCAGCACAGGGAGACGGAGGAGGAGGAGGAGCAGGGAACGGCACACAGAAGCTGCACCCCCATACTCCCCACCCCCAAACCCTAATCCAGGAGAACGGGCAGAAGGAGGGGTGGGGCGCCTTCAGAAGCACGGGGGACAGCGGGGAGGACAGGGGCAGCGAAGAACGGGCCGCCCACGGGCCTGGCACAGCCTCCCGAACCGCGCGCAGGCGGCCCGAGCCGCGCGCGGGCCTGGCGCAGCCCGTACGGGCCGCGCGCGGGCCTGGCGCAGCCCGTACGGGCCGCGCGCGGGCCTGGCGCAGCCCGTACGGGCCGCGCGCCGGCTGTACGGGCCGCGCGCAGGCCACGACGGGCGACGGGGGGCGACGCGCGGGTCCCCGTCGCCCGTCGTAGCGCCTCCTGGGGGCGACGCGCCGAGTGACGGGGCAGAAACCCGTCGCGCGCCTCGGGGCGCACGGCGGGCAGAAAACCGCCGCGCGCCTCGGGGCGCACGGCGGGCTGAAAAACCCTAATTTCGACGCCGCGCACCACGGGGCGCGCGGCGGACAGGGAGTAGCAGTAGCAGCGGAAGCAGTGAGGTGGGGCCCACAGGCCAGGAGCATATCGCTCTAATACCATGTGAAGATAAGCAGTAGAAGAAGGCGCCATAGCTAGGAAAGCCCTAGCTAGGCAAGAAACAGTTTAGGCAAAGAAGGAGGAGTTACACTAGCAAGAATGAGGATACAAATAGCAAACCCTAGAAGGGTTGTACTCGCTATAGAACACCCCACTACAGGCTAGAGCATAATATTCTGACAGAAAGCAATCTCTTATATTAACCGCTGTCGGAACATCCGTGACCAGATCACGAAGCATGGGAGCGCAATCTCGGAAGAGATCTTCGTCAATATAGTCCTCCAAGGACTCGGGCCAGAGTGGAAGCCCTGCAAAGCGCTACTCCGACAATGAGGAATTATCTCTGAAGCCGCTCTATGCGCCGCTCTCCTGACTGAACAGCAGGACATGGACTCGAGCAGAACAAGCTCCGCGCCGCGCCGAAAGCGCCTCGCCTTCTACGCAGACAACCGTGAAGAGCGAAGACAACCAAGGCGCCACTATTGCAAAATATGCAAGGTCTTCGGACATTCAACGGATCGATGCAAATCCCGATCCAACTATCGCCACCCGAATTTCACTCACCATAACAACTGGGTTGGCCGACAAGACGCTCGTCATTCTCAGCCTCAACATCAGACTTCTCATCCTCCTGCACAGCATCAACAACAGCAGTCACAGGGATCTCAAGCAGGAGCCCCCAGAAACGTGATAGCGAACATGGGGACACGGCGTTGTCGCACTACTGAACCAGACGAAGAGGACGAACTTCAAGGAGGGTTCATTCAACCAGAGGAAGGATGGAATAATCCCCTCACAGAAGACCACTACTATCGGTATGACGAAGACGAGCAAGATTGGCATCAGCCAATAACACTACGGGAAAGCTCGCCACATGACAACCAGCGTTACGTACCTGTGGGATGGAAAGAGGACGAAGTTCCATCCTTCCACAGACGCTACCAAGCGACACTGGTGACTCCGCGACTCGCGCTACTTCTGCGCAACAACAACACCAAGAACTACAACACCTGGTACCTGGACAACTGTTGCGGACAGCACATGGTGGGATCTGTTCGATACGTCTCGAACCTCAGCCGCGCCCCCGCCACCTACGTCA